CATAAACAAAAGTCATATCATAAACCATTCTCACCCCTTTCCCCCACCTTTTGTAACGCCTGATATTAAAAGCAAACTAAATGGCCCACTTACATCAAACCAACAAACATTTCTCGATGGACTGTCAGTTTCATCAACACAGAGTGCTTTATACGAGCAGGAAACACAAGATCAATGTGAGCAAAAGAAGTGGTTTGAACTTAAGGCACATCGCCTATCTTCAAGTAACTTTAAATTTGTGCATACCAGACAAGATAATTTTGAACATTTGTGTGACTCTCTACTGAAATCCAAAAGACAAACTGAGGCTAGGAAGTATGGCATGGAGAATGAGGACTGCTGCTGAGGCATATTCAAGGCTGCAGAAGCTTAATGTCCATGCTTGTGGAATTGTCATTAACCATACATGTCCATATCTAGCCACTTTACCAGACATGCGGGTATATGACCCGTCTGAGAGTGACCCTTGGGGATTTGCTAGAAATCAAATGTTCCACTGCACAATCCATATCAAATATCAACATGCAAGCTCAAAGAAACATTCCAGCATTATCATCAAGTAATGGGTGAAATGTTACTCACAAGGGCCAGGTGGGTCGATTTCTTTGTTTGGTGCAAAGATGATTACCACTTGGAGAGAATATATTTCAATGAGGAATTTTGCAATGAAATGAAAACTAGGTTGGATCTGTTTTACTTCAACTATTTCATAAATTACATCCTTGGTAAAATCTAAACAATATTATCAGTAAGGGGCAAGTTGACTGATGAAATGAATGGAAAGTAATTTGACAAGTAGCTTGTACGGTTGGAAACCAGACAGACCCTACTGACATATCAACCCGTAAATGTCTATTTTTATGGGTAATGAAGTTTTACATTAGTAATCGGGTTCTGATGTGATTCATACATCAGCCAAGTGACATTGTAATTAATATGTTTCATGAAGGATGAATTTCTTTACTTCTCTGACATGAGACATTGACAATTAATGTGTTAGACATGTAACCATGGTAAGATATGTACACACATATTCATGAATGATCAAATTGTTATGGTATTGACATACTTCAGTTTTGAAAACTTTAGTTGCACTGTTTCAGCATGAATGTATTAGTAATACAAGGAAATAAAGATGTTTCCACTCTCCCATTACCATGCCATTCAACTATGACACAAGAACTTGCAAAACTGATTGCATACTATACCATATTGAAGTAATATACCAGTAAACAATTATCACATTTCTGTTTAATGAGTATTTATCAAGATGACACACCATGATGACATGGTTCAAGTAATGGTCCAAAGTCACCAGACTCTCTGTACAGAGGCATTAGCCATGTTATGTTTCATAAGTTTTCTCTTTGCATCACTTAAAAAAGAGAACCCCTGAAATTTTATAATAGACAGCAAACAGTCCAAATTTGATTTACAGATCCTACAATGGTTAATGGAATTATGCCATCAAAAATATGGTATTCCTTCACTCTTCTGATTGCTCTCTCCACATGTATACGTAGTCTGGATATTTCCAGTGTGATTTCTACATCCTTTCTAGTAAACTGATAATCATTTGATTTGAGAGAAAGGGGATGGGGGGGGGGGGGGGGGGGGTGTGTGTAATCAAGTGAGCACCAGTAGACTGAAGAAGATCATCAATCAAAAACCCTTTGTCAGCCATAACGCCTTCCTCTAACAATGACAAGAGACCACTCTGTTTGGTTATTTCCTTATCAGAAATACATCCTTCATAAAGTGAACTCATAAAAGTATTTGGCCCATGGGGAGCAATACAAATCAATGCTTTCATAGTGGTGTGGGTTTTATAATGCGAAAAACATTTCTGAATTGACAACCCTAGAGGTTGGCGTTTGACATTTCAATTCAGTACAGTCAACAATAACCCATGTTGCAGGATAACAACATTTAAATTCTGGTGGCATTCTTTCATTTATCATTTCTCTAGAGGGCCAAATGCATACACATCCAAGCAAAAAATACAGATAGTTGGCCTATGTAATAGTTATTCTACAAATAGTTGAAACACTGACATTAAACAGATGTGCCAAGTGTGTTTCAGGGTAACCTTGTCTTACTCTAATGAGAAACACAAATAATTGGTCAAACAATGACAAAGAACATGGAAATCCACAGTTTAGTTTGTCTACATCAGTGCCTCTCTGAAACTGCGTCCAGGTTTGCATCTTTGAAGCAGTAGGATAGATCCACTGAAAAAAATTATCTAGCTCATTGAAATCAGCAAAACCTGTATAAAAATTGATGTCCACAGGACTGGTAGCGAAACGCCGTATAGAAAATAATTTTGCAGACTGAACATTTACACAATTTTGTAAGCGTCTTATCTCTGCATGTGCAGAAGCTAATTTTTCTTCAGTTGTGGCGTGTTGTTTCTCATGGTAATCATGATCTGCTGTTGGGTGGGGAGTAGACGTTTGGGTCGGGTCACTGGCCGTAGTCGAAGCCAGATCTGCAGTGTCAGCCGGTGTAGGCATTGTTGGTACACAGTCCATGCTATCCAACCTGAAAAGTGTAAGTCACGGAACATTTCATATTCCCTCGTAAATAAAGCATATCCTAGAATAGTAATTTTGCTACCATAAAATATATTATCAGGGATGTGAGCAGGTTTTCCCTAAAAAAAAAGAAAACTTTTGGCGGGTTCACATAAATATTTTATACTTTTGATTGCATTTTAAGCAATTGGGTGCATTTTGGACACCACTCACACAAAGAAATGTAATAAGTCAATGACAAAAGTCAAGTCAAGTCAAATAAACAAAGATGGCGGATGCAGTAAAATTTCGAAGTTAAATCAATACTTATAAAAAATCGGACATAGCTTCCGCGCACCTGGCTACCCGCCAGGTCTGGGAGCAATACTGCCATTATAATAATAATAGCATATTTATACATTATTATAATCATAATACATTTACAGTGTCACACACTGTACAGTACATGCACTGGAATAGAAATGAATGATTAAATAAAATATTAATGTCATGACAAATTATGATTACAACTATTTTAGTGAACTGTATATTACATGTAATAATTGATATGATAATAAGAGATAGTCAAATCAATACCTTCTGTCCTGGACCTTGTTGGTTGGTCTACTCTTGGTGGCACTGTTCCATGTAAAAATACATGGAACAGCTCCTGGAACAAGCCTCTTTTTGTGCCCTCCCAGACCTCTTTTAATTTCACATTGCTTGAAGTGGTTAGAGCATACAAAAGTAATATTGCGACCAATCTGAAACAAAACAATTAACATCAATAAACATATTTAACAATGTTATTAAGTTTCTATTATTCAAAATAGTGAAGCTGTAAAAAAACATATATGTAGATAACCATTATTACAAAATCTATGGCCATAAAATGTTAAAAGTAGCAAACATAAGGTAGAAGTTACCTGTATATTACCTTAATGTATGAACATTTTCAGTACAAGGATTGGTGAAAATAACCCTGACTTGCAGGATAGCAAAAGGACCATAACCATAACATTTCATTAACCTGTAGTATCCTTTAATCAAAATAATATTTACATTTTTTTCAGGCACCCATCGAGACAGACATGCTTAGTCAATATAGATCTATAGGCCTAGGGCCCAAACCACAAATATTTATTACATAACTATTTCTCAAGTATAAGGTCGACTATTGTGTCAGTGTTACTTACTGGCATTGCATTCAAATAAATCTTTCCCCAGATTATCAACATTTAAATAAATAATACATTTTTTACATAACATTAGGTTTGCCGTCTGTTTATATCAACCCATTTACTGATCGTGAGATGAAGTTGTCAAGAGCTCATCGGTGGCGAATGGCTCGAAATATTGAAGTAAATTTTGAAATTACATGTAAACAATTATTATTTTACCTAGAACACGATGTTCTTGTCATTGTTTAGTGAAATATAATTTTGTGGTATCATTGTATACAACAAATTAGTCGGACGTCTTATGAACTGACGATAAACATTTTTCGTGATTCTACACATGTACCACTAGACAGACAGTCTGCTTACCTGGAAGGAGTTGCTCACATCTCGACGTATGGCTGCGATCCATTTCCTCCGGAGATTCTTGTCTTTAGGAAAATTGAAAAAAGACAAATCCGAAGAAACTGCTTTTCTCCGATCGCTCGTACAGAATGGGACCGAACAGTGAGCAATTACTTCCTGTGTGTTGACACTACCTGCATAAGCAGCGATGCTCTCCAAGCCTCGCTTTCAAACCGGAAGTACCGAAGTGTGAAAAAGGTCAATATACTACCACAAGTGCTGCTTTAAGTGTATCTCCGTGCTCCCTATCAGCGACTTTTGATAATGGCATTTTGCTACACAGAACTACGGGCTGTTCCTTACTGTTTCCTTATAGATTCCCATATAGGGCATCCTTCTAATGGCAGCATGTGACAGCATGTGTTATTTGATCACCCTGCAAACGAACAATAGTGTATTCCATCGTATCAGGGGGAATGGGTGGCCTAGTCGTCTAAGGCGCCGCAATTCGCTGTGCAGAGTTACGTCCCATGGGCACGCCAGAAACTATGATTGTTGGTTTAAATCCCGGTTCGACCCGATTATGTTTCTAGGTTTGTCAGCACCATACCCGTGCCCCTGGATTTCACCGAAGTGGTAAATATCTAAGACCTGCATCACTTTGGGCTTTCCTCCCACATTAAAGTGACATGCCGTGATATAACTGAAATAATGTTAAAAGAGACATTGAACCAAACTCACACACTCTCTCAATCGTATCTTATCTTATTTTTTTAACAATACTATTGGATGTGTTGCGGTTTTTAGTATGTCCTTGTCGATTTGTGCATTCTCATTTCTCAAAGTTACCCATATTGGACTCAGGAGAAAATCAATTTACTTGCAAACCTGACATATGCTAATAAATACAAAAAATCACAGTTAGGTAGCTCCTTGGTTTATTAGTTAACACTAGGCCTTGAATTGTCATATCCAGATCACAGTCCATCTAAATTCTTGAACAGATCTTTTGTTTTTGTTGAAGAAGTCAAAGCAAAGACATGGCGACTCGAGACGTATGTGTGTTACTCTACTTGTGCGGGATCGTGGGATGCTGGGCAGGTAACCTCCATTTACAAATGCATGTTTGATTTCAATCTGTACATACCATCTTGATAATCAGATAATAGGTGAGAATTATACAAGTATTGCAATACAGATACAAATATTGCTGTCAAGGCGGCCATTTTGAATATCAAAATAGTCCATCATACACTCATTCACAGATCCTTTCGTGAGTGAAATGGTTTCGGAGATATAGTGCATACATAAAGATAACAATGATTCGGTACAGAAGCCTTGTTCCAGATCCCTGCTTAAATCCTATGGAAGTTCCAAGTCTTGAGAAGAGAGACCGTCTGTACGTCCTAGCAACAGGTGAGAGAGCCCTCAACGACAGACTGCTCACAGAGGGGTGGTATGACGCCGGAGGGAAAGTATTGCTGGACTCTGCACCAGGTTTCCAGCACTGTGGTACTCGTTACCCTATATGGAGAAAACGTAAGTATGTTGTCAGTCTTTGATTTAAAAAAAAAGTATGGTATAAATCAATTCATTTTCAGAAAATCACAAAACGTGATTGACAAGAGGTTGATTTCGACTTTCGAATAATATTCCATCAGCTCCAGCCTTCGGTGTCTACATTTGACAACTTTCATATCTGACGTACATTTTACCAAAGACAGAAATCAGCATATCATTATTCTCCTTACATTATGAATATTCTAGATTAGGAATTGTCATACTAAATTTGTGAAATATAATTAACTTTTCTTTTTGAGAGGAAAACACATTTTAAGTGATTTGTATGCATGTGTGAACCCACATAGTTATACATTTCAGAAAAGAACGGTGACAACTCTGTAATGTGCATTCAAAGCCACAGCGGCACCTGTATCAGGGAGTTGAACATTGAAACCAAATTGTGCGGCAAGAAGGAGATATATAATTTGAAGAAAACAATATCCTCGAGTGCATATTGTTTTGGTAAGGTTATTCTCTCTATGAATAGACAGATGGTTTGACAAAATTGGAAATAATTCAGATCGTTGCACATTATTATTATATTATGTCAAACTGCGATCAGATACATGTACTAACCTATTTTCCCAGTTTCTGGGATGTTCTCGAAAAACATAAATTGTCCCAATAATGCTTGAAAAATATAATTATGCTTCAGACTGTTGAGAAAAAGCGAAACTGTCTGACACAAACCTGCATTGTTGAAAGGTTAGAAAAAGTATATTTAGGAATATATAATGGCAAAAATCATGGCATGGGATGACTGACCACAGGTGCTGTCGATACCAATGTCATCGGATAGAACAAAAAATTGACACCAAATAAAGAAGATATTTGTGAGTTGTGATTGGGATTTACTGACAAAAACATCATGGTAACACAGGTACTGTTTTTGACCTTAGACAATACCTCAAAAGTGTATGGAGCTGCAGGATTAAGAAAATGAGTTACGTTTGATGTTTCATGTGAAAATCTTCCTTAAAGTCTCTACTTGATACTTGAAACAGATCAGTAGCGGGTATAACTGCCACATGCTCGGATGACCTAAATTAGTGCTCCAATTGGCCCAAATCTTGTACGGGAGGATCTCGTGCCTGTATGCGCCACTCCAGAATATCCCAAACATGTTCAAAGGGGTTCAAATCTGGGCTCATTGCTGGCCAGGTTAGAGTCGTTATTGCGTTGGACCTCATGTAATCCACGACTGCATGCGAACGATGAGGCTTGGCATTGTCATCAAGGTAGTGAGGTCGAGTAGCAAGAGGGTGGTTGTCAAAATGAGGAACGACGACTGGCCTCAAAATGTACTGACCCCCTGTTAAGTTGCCCCTTGTGGCGACCAATGGATCCATCTCCAAGTTCTCAGATTCCAGTTCTGTCCCGCAATATATCATACTAAACGAGCAGCTTTGTGGTGATCTCTCGACAAGGGACACTTTATAATTATGACTCGTCTAGCCCTCAGTCCTGCTGTCGGTTCCTGATGGTTCTGGTGCTGAAACGACAATTGGGCAACCCCAGCTGTTTCAGACGAGTATTTGTTAAAAAGGGTTCTTGGCGTATGAGATGAAGAAGGTCCCTGTCTTCGTGATGTGTAGTCACAGGTGGTGTTCCGGATCTGGGAAGGGGCTGTACATCACCGGTCTGAGCATGTTTCTCGGCTCAACGGCTTACCATAGTGTGATGATACCCCAAATTCCGACCAATGGCATTACAAAACATTCCTGCGTTATGCCATCCGATTATTTGCCATCTTGTGGCGTTTGATAATCGCCTTCATGCCATGGTCACTCAAGGTCATGGAAAAACTGTTTAAAACCAAGCTTAAGAAAGCAATTTTAACGTTTGAATATACTGCTTTTAAAAGATACTCGAGGGTAGCATGCTGCACGGGCATACCATGCATGTCACGCATGACTGATTACATCATCTCGAGAAAACATAATTCTTCCCGTAATTATATCTTTCATGACTGTTACAAATATCAGGACCAAACAATAATGAAATATATTAGGGTGTGCGTTAACTTAAACTTATTCTTTGTATATATATATCCACCATTTTCCAAACTGTAAGAAACTGTGCAATTCAGCTTATCGTGTTTATCATGCAATTGTGCTCCGTTTCCACTTCAGGTATGTACACGAAGACGTTTAGCTTAGATTAGAACCAATAACTTCAAGCTATAAGTTTAGACTTTATCGGTAATCTGTAAAATATTGTTTATTTATATATTTTTACCTTGCTTGCAGGTAAACCAGGCGTACGTAAGTAATTACGTTTGGAATTCATAGTTTTCAAAATACATTTTTGACGATGTACTGGGTTGAAAGAAAGGTTACATATTAAGCTCATTTCTCAAAGAGCAATGAAGAAAACGAGAAAATTACAAACGAGATTTCAAGCAGATATTCAATGTAAATTTATAGTAAATAAAACAAAACCGAATAGCAACCACCAGAAGCTTATAGGAGATTATACGTATATAAACAATACATTATAAAACAATGAAAAGGCACAGTAGTATATTATATACCCTGATCGTTGCAGCTCCAACATTTGCTGTGAAACCTACTGTTATTACCCAACTCCACAATGATATGTATACAAGCAAGCTACAGTTCCGTTGTGAGTTCAGCAAACACGATGATGACGTCTTCTACGCTACCAACTGGGTCGTTAACGGCGACCTTGTCCTCACTGAAGATGCTATGAGGTGGGACAATGGAGATGTTATAGACAAACATACTCTGACAGAGGCTAAACTGATCAGCGTTCACATAACACAAGTTGGATTCGAGGTACATATCTGGTATCAAAATTCACTGATTACAAACTAACTTTAGTCGCGAGAGTCTTCAATTGGTAACGGAACCGATGGTGGAGAGCCTGAACGACAATGGTATTGGTATAATGCCACTTCATGTCCAGCCAATATGGGCAGTTTATGGTTGTGCCAGAAAGTCAACTGTCAATATTCTGCTTTAAGTTAAACTACAAATGTAAATCCCATGTAAAAGTTTTGTTGGAAAGGGAAATATATACAATTTTTTAACATTTTGAACTTATCTTTTTACAACAGCTGCGGTGTTCAGTCAGAGCTAGCGTCAGAGAAGACACGGCAGCCAGTGTTCCTGTCTTGTCAGACTCCAAGTTTATAGGGATTAAGGTAAATATTTTCGTTGGACCTATTGTTCTTAAAGTTTCCTGCTTTGTCACAGTAGCCTTAGGGGGAAATTTAAGGGGAGACTGTAAATCAGTGCGATATGAACGAAAATAGGTTGATGTGCACGACATTCGTTCTTTCCGACATTCACGCATACCAATAATTTATTAATTAATTAAATAATCATTATAATATTGTTTATATTTTTATTCTATAACAATTTAGTTCCTTGGTCAAAGTCTAGTGTCTACTTCAATTCTGTAAAGGTCATAAGGAGATTTGGACATATTTAAGTTTTTGGCTGTATTCACTAAATTGTGCGTCCAAGCTGCAACTGTTTCCAAAATGGAAGTTTCAATGACACTGTGCGTTATTGGTTACTGTCGCCTGCAGATATCTGATAAAACACTTGAGCTATCAGAAGGGGAGTTCGCTGACATAGCCCTCCAGCTGACGGCACCATTTGGATGTGGGACTGCACATGGTACATGTGAACTAAACATAGAATCTATTCACCTAGGTACGTACATGTATAAAGCAAGATACAAACTTTCTAATTTGTCTTGTTGTTAACGTTAGAACTGTAGAACGGTTCCATATTCAGTCGTGTCACGTTCTTTTGACCTCACCCCTCCCCAGCTTTATTTCTGACACAGCTCGGCAAAGTCCGGCTGTTGTCATTGTACAGTGGCGTTACATTCTGTGTTAGGACATTAGTGGCCTGACTATTTCATTCTCTTGTTATCTAATGATACGCTCAAACCATGTATTGACTTTATGTATACTATCTCTTACAAGTTCGCTACCGTATTCTTGTATTGAAAATGTTTTCTTACCTATGATTTTCAAACATTAGGGGAATTTATATGTACACTCAGGTATTTCTCATGTATTTATGATAATGTTTGTCTCCTGAATGATTGTACATAGCTTGTTGTATGTCCTGAATGATACCGTTGGATAGCTTATGTTCAGCGCTTTATTTTGATACTTACATTGCCTGTATATATATAGTAGTTAGTTTGCTATTCGTGTTTTCCCCCATGTTTAGAAACACAATGTGGCTAAAGGCCCCAGTCTCATTCAGTCTCTCTTTCGAAACTCAGATTCCGTTAGTAAGTGGTTACGGAGCACCTTGGAACTTCTTCTGACTTGCTCTGGTCATATTGAGCTAACCTCATTAACTAGGGTTTGTAATACTTAGTTTATCTAATAATCCGTGGATAACCAACCTTCCAGTGATTGTGTAGCTACTTAGTAACTAGCATTTCCAATACTCCGTTTTTCTAGTAATCCGTGGATAACCAACCTTCCAGTGATTGTGTAGCTACTTAGTAACTAGTATTTCCAATACTCCGTGCTACTTAGTAACTAGTATTTCCAATACTCCATTTTTCTAGTAATCCGTGGATAACAAACCTTCCAGTGATTGTGTAGCTACTTAGTAACTAGTATTTCCAATACTCCGTTTTTCTAGTAATCCGTGGATAACCAACCTTCCCGTTATTCTCTAACTTTTTGGGAATTTAGTATTTCCTTGTTCAGTCAAAGTGAAAGTCGATAAGACTAGTTTGATATTCAGACGTATTCGTCTATTTTGTAGTCTAAGTGACTTTTTTTAGGGATAGGCCCCCTGTGTTTTTTCCCTGTTATTTAACCCAACTGAGGTTATTCACTCATTTGAGTTAATTGACTCGGGCGTTAATTGTTCGCAGCTGACTAAATTGGCATCTGGTTGGTATCTTCAAAGGGTTGTTTCAGCTACTCTCTTTTTATTACTGTAATGCAGCTGCTTGGCTAAGCCGCTTGTGTATTTGCTCTGTTTTTTAATTAATCAGTGATCTTTGTCAACGCAAATTGAGTTTAAGTGATCTCTTATTGTCATCTATTAGTACAGTCAGCTGTTATTATTAAACCGGAGAACCTTACACCACATTTTCTTATTGAATTTATTGTTGTTTAATGACACTCCTGGTCATTGTAGATCCATGACAACTGTACATTTTACGGTAAATAGTGAAACACATGATCATCTATTTAGAAAGACTCAACATCATTATACCTGAAAGCACGTGTGCCTTATTTCTATTGTAATAGAGTAATATAAAAATGACATCAGGTCGGACAAAACTGAAAACAGATATGAAAACAGGGTAAAACAGTTCATGAAAGTGAAAGTATCCATTTGAGGTATCCTGTCACACGAGGCCAGTTCATCTTCCCTGTACACTCATCTCAACTGTCATGCTGGTGAATATCAAGATCGGCGCCACGCTCATTGGCAACGCCGGTTGGTCGTGGTGGTGAGGTGTATGTCAGCGTTTAGTTAACACAAAGTGATATCCTTATTTCAGAGACCTCGCCAGATTGTGCAGAAGCGAAATTGGCAAGTTCAACTTGTGGAAAAGTTATTTCAGCTTCGGAGTGGGATACAGCTACCACGATCAGGGTATTTGGCCAAGTTTCCCAGAGCCTTGGATCATCAAGTAACACCTTGAAACTGAAGCTGGCGACCCCTGACGTACTACCTGACAACATGTTTTGGGCCAACTACACTTTCGGCATCATAACGGTAAAATTGTGATTTTCATTTTGACATAGAGCAGCGATAAAATGCTATGGCTCTACATACGTGTGTTGTACATTATATACATGGCTCTGTCACATATGAACATTTGCAAAGATGAAGAACTAGAACGCAACAAAATACAAACATAAAGAAAAGACAAATGTGTTACAAAGGACATTGGAGGTCCACTGTCTAAAGAATGAGTAACTATGTTCTAAGTATATATACATTCTGTACATCTGGTTTGATTATATTACATGTATGTTCAGGTTCAGCTGATAAAGAACACGAAGCCGATTGAGAGGAAGTGGTGTCATGCTAGCAATGACCCACACATGCTGACATTTGATGGAAGGTAAATCTTTCTTATAGTCCATGAATAACTATATGTATGCTCGTCAAAACAATTTAGGGAACACTTGATATTTTGTAGCATTTGTAGCATTCGTTTCCTTGTAAATTGGGTAAATGGCCTCCTGATCGGCGGCTAACGTACTGATATTGAAGACTACCCTTACTCAAGTGACTTCATGACCAGAACAAAGAATTTGAATCATACTGGACTCGTCAACGTTCATTTTGACCATCACTGATTTTCATGGAAATTTTTGTTGTAATCTCCTCCTCACAGCTGCCGTAAAAATGGAGAACGTGCATTTGCTCACTTATTCTCATGAAGCACGAGCCACAAGGAATTTTTGTGCGAAATTTGGGTTGATAAAGGCAGGTCCCTATGAAACTGCATCAGTGTGTTCAACATGCCACAACCTCGACACCTCAGGATTAAAGAATGAGCCAGAGCTATTGGGTGGCTAAATGAGAATGTTTCACAGCTGGAAGCTGCTCGAAGGTTAAATGTTAGTCCATCGGTCATTTGCAGATTACGTCAGCGATTCAAACAAACACAGACAGTACGTGATAGACCAAGGTCAGGACGCCCTCGTGTGACAACAGGAAGGGAAGACCTGTACGTCGTTGTTGAAGCATTGAGGAGGAGAACAATCACAGCAAACCATCTTCGAAGGCAACTGAGGGCTGCTACAGGAACAAATGTCAGTGACCAAACCATAAGAAACCGTATGAGGGAAAGAAACATCAGGCCCCGACGTCAAGCCGTTAGACCGCTTCTTCTTCAGCGTCACAGAGCAGCCAGAGACGCATGGGCACGACAACACCGACAGTGGACAAGACAACAGTGGTCAGCAGTTATTTTTTCTGACGAATCTCGGTTCTCACTGCAGCATAATGACGTTCGTGTTCTTGTCTACAGACGGCGTGGGGAACGTTTTGCTGACGTCAACGTCCGTGAGCACAATCTGTTTGGTGGTGGTAGTGTCATGGTGTGGGCCGCCTTCTCAATTCTTAACAAAACCAATCTGTACGTCATCAACGGGAATTTGAATGCTGTTCGCTACAGGGATGAGATTCTGAGACCAATGGTGATTCCTTGTCTTCATCGAATAGGCCCACAGGCGGTTTTCCAGGATGACAATGCTAGACCTCATCGTGCACGAATAGTCACTGACTTTCTGGGACAAAACAATGTTACGCGCATGGAGTGGCCAGCATATTCTCCTGATACGGCACCCATTGAACACGTATGGGATCAGTTAACGAGACGTGTTATGGAGAACCACGCTCCACCTCAAGATCCGCGCCAGCTTGCTCAATGGCTGAGTTTGGAGTGGCAGGCTATCTCACAGAACACACTACAGACATTAGTGACATCCATGAGTCGTCGTTGTGTTGCATGTGTGGCTGCTAGGGGCGGACACATTCGTCACTGACTTTTCTCTCATGGCCTTGATTTCCAATTTTGATCCCAGTGACATTATTGATATCAACACTTGTTCACGTTATGAAATGTAGTGGATTGTTCATGATTCTTTTTTACTGTATACTCGGTCATTATTGAATTAAATACACATGTCTTCGTCTTCTGTTCCTTTTTTATTTTAAGTGCAAACATATCAGTGTTCCCTAACTTCTTTTGAGTAGTATATTTCATTGTATAATGCCAATGGTTTTAGTCATGACAAACACCAATCGAGTGTAAAGTTTGTATCAGAATGCTGTCTCACTGCTTCTCATCAACTACAAGGAAAAACAACATATATTTATTGTTACGAACCATTATTCAGTCGATATTCAAATCAACATTTGTATCAGCATGTAAGAACTTGTCACTCATAAATAAAAGTCATTTTGCCATGTGAATGTATGATATCCCATATTTACACAATGATATCAGTATGAATTGGCTGTACGATTCTGGCAGGGACTGCATCTCTGTTTCAATTTGTTAAGCATGTAAGTGACTGAGGCATTGCAGCCAGTGTATTAAGTCATATTATCTATTACTGTTGTGAAACGCCCGACCAAGCATGTGCAGACAAACCGAAGATCATACCCATTACCAATGGAACTATCGACCTGTCGCCAACAAATATACAGGACCCTTTTGTAAAAAAAGATGCATGTACTGTCAGGGGGATATCAAGCTAACGGTGAAGGAAGATGATATATAGATTTCGCTTTTTGACATTGGGCTTAATGTTTTCAAGCACCGACTGACATCCTATTTACTCCTACCATTCAGGCGATACGAACATCAATATGAAGGTGTCTTCACTATGTATGAGCACACAACCTTTCCCATTGAGGTATGTATCAGTACTTAATGAACATGACAGATATCTCGGAAATATTGTGTTTGATTTGCTATTTTCTCTTACAAACGTAAAGGCAAGACATGTCTCAAACTTTGCTATGCCAGATTTGATAAGAATTTGTCTAAGATAAAAATATTAAAAGAAAGGCATATGATAAATAATCCGCTCTCTTACACTGGAAATGCTATTAGCAGATATTTTTTATTATCATATAATGGGTAGGTTTCTCGGCAGGATAAAGCCAACGGATAAAAACGATATCCGTTGGGGTCATATGCGGATAGAGATGCAAATATCAAAGGTCAAGTAGGGACTACTTTCACTGTTTATAAACAAACATGGCGTCGCCCTCATCATTCGGGGATCGAGTCAGAATTAACCATCGGGAATCTGGATAAACTACAGGGATAATTGCTATCCTTATCAAAAGAACAGTCTAATATACTGAAATTCAGTCTCTTACTGTGACGTAGCTAAGGCATTTTATAAGTTTGGGCAACTTTAGAGATATAAATTTCGAAACAATTTTTCGAGGGCACGAGGCCTAGCCAAGCGGGATCAGTAGCCATATCTGTGCTTGTAGACCTCTGCGGCTTGAAACCTTCTCCACAAATTAAAATAGGTGGATTTGTCCGAAATATGTTGGAATTGTTACCTTGTTTCGTTTTGTCGCTGTGTGTACATCTGACTACACTTCTTAACGTTATGACAGGACAGACCGACTGTCAACAACGACTGACCGTGGCCGTGACGTCTCATAGACTAGGGTTAGAGTAGCTTCCCTTTGACAAAGGGCAGTTACTCTAGCGGACAGACAGATGGATTGCCGCGAAAGGCAATTAAAAACAATTGTTGTTTTGCGTATATGTTGCTTCGCCACTGTATAAGAAACAGATTTCAGTTGGAACTATATTGGGTACTGTCACTGTCCGACTGACACATCACTTACCTTGTGACGTAATAAATATTAATGCGTGCATTCCAGAAACACTCGCAATGTTATATGATAAAGAGGTTATCACGCTTGTGTGTTTGGGGATGGTAAATATCCTGTATTAGGAATAAACACTATGTATTTAGCTCGCCAAGGCTCGCTAAATACAATGTTTATTCCTAATGCAGGATATTTACCATCCCCAAACACACTCGCGTGATAACCTCTATTGATTATGGATATGCTTTTGTCCCTTATAGTGAATAATACCTATCCATGAAACCGAGTTCGATCTTTTATAAGAAACAGTGCATTTATTGACATTATCACTACAGGTTCAAATACAGACAGCGGACTGCGGAGGGGGTGTGCACAACGCGTGGTGTAACTGTGGAGTTGCTATACGAGCTGGCAGGACGGTGTTTGAGTTTAACAGGTGCGAGGGACAGTCCAGTATTTGGACAATAGAATACACCCTGTGTGAAGACACTGGGGATGTACTACAGGTAAAGAAGAAGGGCACCAGTTATGAGGTAATTCATGATATTTTGTTATGTTTGTTGTTGATTCTCTTGATGTCACGTATATTCAGTCGATAACCATTGATGTTGCTAAATTAAATATATTTCATCATTGCAATATGGATCAACGTGTGTCATGTCAGGGTTATGAAATCTTTCATCATGTTAAATTAGTTTCTGTTGAAGCATTTTACAGCCTCTTTCAAACATCTCGATGAAACTCTTGGAAATATTCAATACCTTAATATGTAATCAATAAACCTTCAAAAGTAGTTCCCCTGGTAAAGTTTTGTCATAATGGAATATAATTCCAAATAGATTGGCTGTGTATTAGCTCAGGTAGAATGCAATATCCATACATGCATGAATGTGATGTATGACTTGTTGAATGCGGTCCAATTCATAGAGCAATATTACACACCAGGTTAGATAAAGCACTTATGGTGGAGGAGAGGTGAATGGTTAATTGCAAAGTTTTAAGCATGTGATGAGCACGTGTGTACGAATCACTATATAATAGTGATGCTGCCATGTGTACACTCTTCCATAGGTGTATCTGCCCACTGGAGGAAGAGTGACAGTTACTGTCTGTGACATCTACCTGAACGTTTACATCTACCCGTCAATCCAAGACGTAAATAACACCCGTGGTCTCTGTGGGACACTAACAGCAAACTGCAGGGACGACTTTTTCCTGAGGGACGGCACCTACTCTACAGACGTCACGGCTACGGGTGACTGTGAAACTACATCCAACGTCTGGCAGAATCTTCTCACTACATTCTCGAACTCATGGAAGTGAGAATTTTATTTGATCTTACCTGTAATTGATATTTTAAGCCGCAGTTAGAAATATTCCAGGTGTCTAGCGGCTGATGTAAAGAATTGAATCTGAAACAAGAAAACCTGACGTTAACAGATTAAGCATCGCGAAACTGCGACGCACAATCAGCCAAGTCACGTTATAACAATTCATTAATTGGTTCTCCTTACAAGCACATTGAACAGGGGAATGATTCTTCCCCGTAATCCACACGATACCGATCCATCTTACGTTGTTCACTTAAGAATTGAACGTCAGTTTGGATGGGTTCATTGAAGTGTGAACGATTTAAAAGGGCTGGTTAAACTGTGTGAACTCCAAATATCAGATCACGTGACTACCCCTTCAGCCAGTCAGCATGACAGAAATAGTGTAACCTTTAAAGTATGAAATTATATAAATTTATACACATTTAATATTTATATATTGTGATAACATGACCAGAATTACATTTTCTCCGAATGAACTCTGACACTAGGGATGAGAATTATTACAACGATTATGTACGTCGTGTGTTACAGGGTTGATGATGGAAGTAACTTGTTTGTTCCGGACGTCCATGCATCACTGCCAGCGTGGCCACAGACAAACCTTTATTGTTCCTGTTCCCCGGGTCCTCTATCCACTACACGCACCGAGGCAGTAAATTGCACTGCAGCTATTCATAAGGTGTGTGCCACCCTTCCGGGTTTCACAGAAGTGTTCCCGACGTCGTGCACAATCCCTGAGAGACGCCGGAGAAGATCTGCAGGTGTTCAGTTGGAATCACCAAGGAGAATACGTCGGGTAAGAAAATCATTTTTAAACAATTACTTTTTATTATATTTGATGCCGTCATTATTGAAAAGAATCTTTAGTAGACATAATATTTATTGTTATGGTTTTCTTCTTTGTATACGTTTGAAGCACTGAACTTCATACTTTTACTCTTGGAATATCATTTGTCTAAAAGTACGTCTGACTACGTTCAACACTGTTACAGTAATGTCACATTCTTGTTATTACTATTATTATTGCAAAACAGGCCATAACTTAAAAATATGTATGTTATAGAGTCAGACATAAAATAATACTGGATCAGTCTCCCTGTTATCTGTGACACATTGATTTTTATATCAAATATTTATTTACAAAAAATATTGTTTATCTTCGCTGAAACCTGGCTGTAAAGTGGCCTTGATGTTACTTGCATTGAAAAAATATACAAAACGAAGGATAAAAACCAATCATATAAAAGAAATATGCTAAACGATTTTTGGATTGTTATACCAAATCTTGTGACTACATGTTTTGCGCAGCAAGCTGCAAAGGTGTGGTCAGACGGATGGACAGAGGTCAAGGCAAGGACATTCTGTGAGAACTTATTCCAGGAATCGCGATCAGTACAAGCGTGCAAAAACGTATCGGGTGTTGGCATCAGCGGCAGCATAGAAAACTGTATCCTGGACATTCAGGTATTGCACATGCATATTGAAGTAGATATTCATGTATTGAACCCGAAAGTAGACATTGAGGTATTGCACATAGAAGTAGACATTCATCTTTGGAACTCGGAAGTAGACATTGAGGTGTGCACATAGAAGTAGCTATTCAGGTGTTGAACCGGGAAGTAGACATTGGGGATCGCACATAGAAGCAGGCATGGAGTTATTGCACAAAGAAGTGGACATTCAGGTACTACACGTGGGAATGCAATTTGAATTATAGCTATCATATTATGACATCAAAGAACGTGAGCTTCATCCACTCAACATATCATCATGCTTGTGTGGATATGATATTTCCCTTAAATATATACCGTCAGGGAATATAGATTCATTTTGTAACATATGATTACACATTAACAGTGATGTCACTGCTGGGATTTCTTTCGAAGTTGACAGGCACCACAGACTTTTCCCGTTTCTCCGTCGACACGGTGAGAGACAAGTGTCTACAGGAGGTGTTGGTTGACCCGGAGCTTAGGGTTAAGAATGAGACGAGTAAGATGTCGGTCTATGACATGGTTGTGGCAGAGGCTTGTCTGAACGACTGCAGCGGGAAAGGAACATGTACAAATGGTAAGATTCCCAGATAAACACGACGTGTTTTTAGATTTGCTGGTATTTTAGTACTTTATGTTCAGAATATTGTGTTGGTTTTTTTCACAATACACAAGTTATCTCTCTCTCTCTCTCTCTCTCTCTCTCTCTCTCTTTCTCTCTCTCTCTCTTTCTTTTCATTTAATGTTACTGTGGGACAGCGTATATAGGAAATTTCTAATTTCGAAACCTCCCCTTCAATTGTAACAGGTGAGTGTGTATGCCAAACCAACTATGGCGGCTCCGACTGTTCTGTAGACCTCACAGCTCCCCCTCGACTATCTGAAACGGAAACGGCTGATACATGTGACGTGTCACGTGAGGCATGTGACGTTGTTTCCGTGAAAGGCGAGACGTTTGTCGATGGTGTATCAACATGTTTGGTTGAAGAGATCAGGGTAAACATGTTCTAAACGCGACATTCGTTAATTTGATCTGTTCTTAATGCTGTTTTTTCTTGAAGATACTCTAAGTTTTAAAGATTCAAACTCACTTTGAAGAAATGTTTCTTTACTTCTTTACATGTTTCGAATGCGGTGATAAGCAACTAACATATTTCGCAGCAAGAAGTGGTTAATGTGCTGGGGACATATTTTTATTTCAGTGACTCTGTTAATTGTTGGCAAATAAAATCCATATATTATATAATTCATAATATAATTACAATATTGACTTTCAGGTTAGAAAATCAGACCAAGAAATCGTTCTAACAACTGTATACATGGCAACCGTGGTCAACATCGGCCATGTGCTGTGCAAAATCGTGGCCAGTGGCAACACAGGAAGTGAGGACGTCGAGTATGTGAGTGCCTACCGGATATCGATTGCCAACAGTGCCGGTAACTGTAGTGACAGTGTGGGCCTGATTGTGTTTGACAGCACATGTATCCGAGCTGATGGTGGCCGCGAAACAAAGTTCAAGTGGACAGTGAAGGTAAATTAGTATGAAGTACTTGGATTGTTTATAGGGGGAAAAAGCAAACGCCAAATCTCAATTTACCTTGTATTCCGATGCACGACAATCAATACCTTAAACTACGTTTACAATTAGTTATATCTGGAGGTGGATGTGAGACTCAGGAAGCTTATTTTTCCTCACCAGGGTCCATACTGCCTGGACCGAGGGACGTGTGTTCCCCACGGGGCGAGACAATCTGGAAACAAGTGTCTGGTGTGTGACGTGTCCGACAACAAGAGAACCTGGAAAACAGGAACAGGTGAAGTACTATTTGCAATAAGTACATCAGATGTAAACTGGGGCACTTTATATAAGGTCGATATTCGTACCCTTTGAAACCGAGCTAGTCCCGTAAAATAATTGTGACAAAACCTTTTCAATACTTATAAGAAAACTCAATGTCATAAGCAGTTATTTATAAATCACTATCAAATAGCAATGATACCGGGTGTTCGTAGAAAGTGAGGCGTATCGTGCGTTTACCAGTGTCATTCGTCAAAAACACTGGGAAAGGCGAGTCAATTGTTCATTTGAAAAACACGAAAAGTCATTAGTAGACTGTATCAGACATAATGTTTGTCACCGATGCGTCAAATTTGGAAATCCTCATGTCTACCAAAATACTTTTTGAAAGCGATACAAAGGCCTTGAATGTTGTAACCCTGATGAAACAAATTTTGAACAGTAGTCGTATGACGCTATCTTTGTAGAGACAGTATGCTCGATTGTACATCAAAAGGCGAGGTTATTGATTGTGGTAGGTACGTAAAAATATACCCTGGGGGTTTCTGTGGTAAAAAGAATCGCCATTGGCCTTTGTTGTAATAAACATCGACGAAAATGAAGCTTGAGCTCTACAATGCGTGGCCTTATTTGTTGTTTGACTGTCATTGTACTCGAACGGGCGAATACGTGCTCATACCATCAACCATTGGTCTGCCTGGTCAAGATTTGATATGTCTGATATGTATTTAGCTGTCGCGTAAAACAACAGTCTCTCACTCATTATATCCAGAAAACATGTATTATAATGTATGTTTCAGAGTCGGGATGCCAGAGTGAGTCTGGGAAGCTTCTTCTCATAGCTGTAGCTGCTGCTGTCGGGGGAGTCGTTTTCGTCATCATCATCGTTGTTGCGTTGGTCTGCGTATGCAAAAGGAAGAATAGAAAGGGTAAATAAACAACTATACCACACAATGAAAGAGCTGTAATTGTTTTAGATGAAGGAAAAACAAATAGGTGTGATGACTTCCACTTTTGCCCTTTACTCTCACAATAAGCTGACACGCCATGATGTAAATACTGTTAAGCCGCGTTAAAATCAAATTTCATTTTCAATTCTGCCATTGTAAATACATTTTAATGTTGTAGTCCTTGCTTGCAATAAAATAGGGAGACATTTATCACTCCAAAACTGGCTTCCAAGATGAGACTTTTATGACTTCATCAGATACCATGACATCACAATCACATGACATAACAATCTTTCTGACACTGACGTTTTACATTCAAGATACTTGTTATAACTGTTTATAAATGGAAATTGAACTCACTCTCTTAGGTCCTAAATTTGTTAGCTCACATCAACTGTAACTTCAAGTGAGATATTGTGTTTCCCAAAATAATTCCGTCAAAAAGTTTTACATTCTACCACATCGTCTCATACTACTACATTGTCTCGAAACGCTTAGGCCTACAAATGTGAAACAATATTGCCTTGATGATGCAAGCAAACATATCTCTAAAAAGTATCCCCAGAAATCCGAGCCGACAAGGCCGCCATTGCAGTCGTAGTATTGGCAGTCATTGTGTCTCTTCTGGCAAGTACCCCGATCTTCGCATGTAGCATTATAATTACCAAATGTGAAGGTTATAAAAGTATGCTGTTTATGACGTAAAATCCGGCCTTTCAATTATAACTTCATTACAATTCCGTAAAGAAATCAGGTGCGCTAAACTACCAAGCCGCACTTGTTAAAGAATAAGATTGTATTCACAGTGACAGCAGTAATAATATCACACATATTTATATTTGTATAAGAGAAATATTTCCAATGAAGACCATTATCAATTTAATACTATTTAGAATACCTTTAGCGCAAATTAGACTTAGGATCCAAGTAGGCAGACATAGAAACAGCCACAGAATTGATAATATGTGAGCAATTTGATTTAAATGTGAAAGATGAGTTTCGTTAGTCAGTCTTGCCTTTTGTCTTTATATACATCACACTAAACAAAAATGTATATCGATGATGTAAACAACTGATAAATGTACCCTTAAAAAGGATCAGTGTTTTGATGAATACTAACTGACAGAACCACATCACTTCACCGGTGGTGCACGATGACGTCACAGGAAACGACCGAATGAGATTGCCAGGTGTGGAGGGGAATCCCCGCGCGAAAATAGGTCACACAATCCTGACCAGATTTGTTGTGTGTGAGCAATGAACCCTATACAGTTAGTGCAGTATACCATAGGGGTTGTAGTATTCATGTTAGAAATAACCGAATAGTTTAATGCTATGTAGAAATACAAACTAACATAGACATGCTTTATTCAATACAATTTGAGTGAATCTGTAGAATTACGATATTATCACATATTTAAACCATGAATTCTATCAGTATCACCAGCTATCACATACGCGAGACACTGTTTAGCGGGAGGCACTGTTAGTCCAAGAGATAGCATGGAATTTATTTACCTCAGAGGTCCAAAAGGTTTGAAATGTGGATCATGAAGAAGATTGAGTATATTTTCGAAAAATCAATTTCTTACAAATTGTATCTTGACCATTTCCTCACAGTATGCCATTAAAGGCATGACTCAGCAATTTTTTTAGTGCACATGTGATTAAGGAAAATGCGATAAGTTTAATAAAAATTGAGAATGACTAAAGTTATTTGGGTATTGAAGTGAAGGTATGAGCATATACTTTATAAAAGAACACAATATTGCACCCACTATGTCAAAATGTCTTATCTGTGATAGGAAATATCATAATATTTATTATTTTGTTTGCAAAGTACCATCTTTTGTTTCTTCTTACTCCTGTAATATGAGGTTTTAATTTTCTTAGTAATTTTGCTTTACAAGCCCAACATTATTGAAACAATATTATTCATTTTCAATACTTTCAAATGATTATTCATAAAGTTTCAGAGTTTTTTCCAAAGGAGTCAGAATGATTTATTTTTGTTAAAGGGAGATAACTCCATCCTAAAATCATAAACTGGGACATTTCAGACAGTTCAAGTACAATTAATGTAATAAAAAGGACCAGATTTGAATAGAGTTAATCAATTAACCTTTCTAATGAAGTTTTTAGTAAATAATTTCAATCAAGTGTAATGACTGGTCCCTGATGCCAAGATGGCCGCCATGCTGGAAGCATTGTAGACAGCAGGATGGAAAGGGTGAGTTGTTGTAAATACCCTTATCAGTATCTTTTACACTGTTTGTCATAAGTTGTGTAATGATCCACAGAAAATATCATCACCAGTTCAACAGTATAAAGTCTTGTGATCAGTCATAAAGTATAAAGTTAAGGCTATCAAGGGAGACTACTCTTAATTACAAGTATTTCCAGGGAGCAGTTGTTGTATTAGTTTGGGGCTATTCTAGTTTGATTAATCATTTATAAAGCAATTTGGTTGTTTTTTAGATGCTTTGTCGTAGCAACACCATTCATTGACTGCAGAGGCACTTAAATATGAAGAATGGATGATCAAAATCTCAAATGTATTCTGCATCTTGGTCAACATTCAAAAGAACCAGTCGAACAGTTTGACAGTGAGTCTTGGCAACAAATACAAAATGCTGCCAAACTTCGTCTGAACAAGTATTTTTCATCAAAATACCATAAAGCATGTGAATATGTGAGAACTCTAGATGCCATTGAACTGTCCTATGTGGATATCATATCTGCTACAAAAATTTCACAGCTATTCCAAAAGAGATAACTAAGCACCAAAAAAATGCATCTGTTTTACTACGTTCAAAATTGCCTGGTATTGCTTGTACTTTCTCTGGGGTATTTGAAAATGTGTGCATTTTCCGCAAAGCTGTTTCAAAGCGTGTTGGGAATCATAGAGAAACACTTGGAAGATGCGAGAGTTTTTATGCTGAAGACAAAATAAAATCTGCTGCTAAAACCCTGTGTGACCAAGCCCTACTTGCTCAGATTTGTGACGTAGATTTCATATCGAAGGAAGTAAAATATCACCATTCTTGTCGTAGGCTTTACCTCAAAAGAGCAGAAAATATATCCATCAATCATGGAGCATCTATGGAGCACTCTGACAACAGCAAAGAAAACCTGACCAACAATGCACATGAGACAGCCTTCAAGACATTGTCACTCTATGTTGAACAAGAAATTATTGTTAAAAATGGTGCTGAATACCTCACATCTCTGCATAAACAATATGTGACATTACTTGGGAGTGAATCTAAATACAGTGCACAGAAGGTGGAAGCTAAATTACTGAACAAGTACAAGAATGGAATAAAGAGTTCCAAATTCTCCAACAGAAAAGGAAAAGTAATTTTTTCTTCAGGTCTATCAAATGAAGATGCGGTCTTGTATGCTGAGGCACAAGCAAAGTCCAATTCTGCACGTGTAGTGGACGCAGCTTTTATTCTGAGGCAGGAAATTATAAGGATGAGAGATGGGTCAAAGGATCTATCATTGCCCTTGTCAGCACAAGTTATAGGAAAGGGTAATGGCCAACCCTCCTGTGATTTAATGCGATTCTTTAGAACATTGTATACAGCTAGGCTCTCCAAGGCCAAAAGATCCACCTAGTGTCAAGGCTGAGAGATGAATCAGGTCATCAGCAGATGACGTTCTGTACAATACTTCAAATGGAACTATCAAACCAGGTAAACATCTAAATCTTGCACTTGGGCTTAAAAGTATCAATGGCAGCAGGAAAGTAATTGAGATTTTGAATCATTTTGGACACTGTGTAGGGTATCACATGGCTGAAATGTTGGAAACGGAGATGACAACATCTGTATCACAAACTGAATCACCACTTCCAGATGATCTCCTTCACTCACCTGGACTTCACACTGGCACAGCATGGGACAATTATTATGAGAACACAGAAACTCTGTCAGTTGCTGGGACACTTCATGACACAGTCTGTATATGTTACCAGGATATTCCAACAGCCCCAGTTACACCTGAAGATGTTCCAACACATACATCTTTTAAAGCAGGAAGAAGAAAGAGATCATTCCAAGGAGAACAATCTTACATCCAGCCCTACATGAAGAAGCCTAGGTTTCAAAGGTTTGAGTATCCATTATCCGAAGATGAGGAGCCTACAAATTATGTACACTTAAGGCACATGTACATGCTCTGGATGATGGGATATTCATGGAATCAGCAAACCCCAATGTGGATAGGATGGAATGCACAATGGTCTGAGGACTATCTACCACAACAAAGAATTGTGTATTTGAAAAACATAACAGAGCCACCAACACAACTGAATGTGGTTGCTAAAACACTGAGGATATCTCAAGAAGTTGCAAAAGCCTGTGGGGAAAACATGGCACTTGCCACTTATGATTTGGCTGTAGCCAAACTTGCATTGCAGATACAGGCACAAGAAAAACCAACCTATGACAACGTGTTCATTTGCTTTGGAGCTTTCCATATATCTATGACTTTTTACGCTTGTTTGGGATACCTTCTGGATGGATCTGGGGGACCATACCTCTTGACCGAGACTGGTGTTCTTGCTGGTGGATCACTCAAGGGATTTATCAGTGGTAGACATTACAATAGATGCAAACGCCTTCATCCAATACTAGCCCTCACGTTCTGGAAACTACATTTTCAGTCCTTCCTTGGAATTGTTGATGATGACATGAAGCAACTGGTGAGTGAAGTCGGCGTCAATCCAACATCAGTCTGTCAAACTGGCTTTGGAAAAGAATGCAATTCAAAGAATCCTTGACACATATGATGCCCATTCAGAGGAGACAAGGAATGGGGCTCATGGGAAAACTGCTCAGTTCTGGATCATCTATATCGATCTTGTAAACCTCTATCTGATGTTTAGCAGGGCCTGCAGGACGTGTGACTTCAACCTTTTTGTGTACTGCCTTGGACGGATGTGTCCATCTTTCTTTGCTATGAATCGTCCAAATTATTCCAGATGGATGACCTTGTATCACTTGAATCTACTGAACACAGATATTACACACCCGGGAGCAAAAGAGATGCTAGAAAATGGAGGACTTTCAATAAAGAGAAGCACAAATTCTTTCTCCAGAGTACAAGTTGATATGGCACTTGAGCAAACTGTCAATGCTGATGCGGCTTCAAGGATGACAGGAATTTCTTCGTTCATACAATCAGAGTCTGCTCGCACAAGATGGATGATAACTCACTCTTTAAGAAGCGCAGTTGTGTCAGGTCTTCTTGAGATGGCTGGCCTTGACACAACCTCAAACATCAAGCTGCAAGAAGTCTTTCAATATCCCTTGACTCCAGTACCTCTTTGCTTTCCCCACATAGACGGCTCTCTCTAACAAGACTGACAAATCAAGGCTTCAGTACTGTCTTGAAAAGAAGGTCGAGGATCACTCACAAGCTGCCACTCATGATGTATGCATTGTTGACGGGATGTTCTTTGTACAGTCTCTCACTGAATGTACCTCTAAGGTACAAGGATATTGCCCAAACAATGCTTATTGCGCTATGTCGAAAGGCCAAACGTGTTGAGTTTGTGTGTGATACATACAAGAGTCCATCCATTAAGGATACTGAACGGCAGATGCATGGTCCGACTGAATTTGAAGCCTTAGTGACAGGTCCTCTCCAGATTAGACCAAAAGAATTCCATCAAGCATTGAGGTCTCCAACTTTCAAATCATCGCTCCTGAGGTTTCTTGTAGAAGAATGGGCAAAAGATGAATATAACATGAACTGTATGTTGCCATCGACAGTGTGTGCTATGTTTTCACAGCCTACAGTGGGCAAGTTGTCAGATCACTTGTTTCCCATCTACTGTCTGGCCATGAAGAAGCAGATACAAGATTGATATTTCATGCATGCAGTACCAGCAGTGACTTAGAATCGCCAAGGATTTCAGTCAGAGCATCTGATACAGACGTCATGGTCCTTCTACTACACCATCTGAAACGAATGAATGGTTCTCAGGTATGGATGGACATAGAAAATAGTAGTAACAACACCAGACACTACATTGATGTCAATGCAGTAGCTATTGGGGAGGATATCTGTGAGGCTCTTCCTTCTTTCCATGCATTCACAGGTTGTGACTACACTGCAGCATTTGCCAGAAAAGGAAAATGTCGACCATTACATTTGTTGGAGACATCAGATGCATTTCAACAAGCTTTTTCTAATTTGGGAAGCCAAGACGAAATCACAGAGGAGGTTGTCAACATTATCGAGCACTTTGTTTGCATGATGTACAATAAAGGTGACATTTCAGATGTCAACGAGGCCCGTCATTGTATCTTCAAGGACAAATATGCACCTCAATCTAAATCAGGACCACTTGATAACATTAAAGGCTGTGATCCATGTGCCTTTCCCCCTTCAAAGAGTGTACTGCTTCAAAAACTGAACTGTGTTCACTATGTATCATCTATCTGGAAGAATGCTCATGTTGCAACACCTGCATTAAGGTCTCATGAGGAACATGATTGGAAATTGGTGGATGGATCATATTCAGTCATCTGGTATAGCTGAGACCAAATGCCAACCTCAATACACAGGAAGCTTGATACTTTCTCCTCAGATGACTCTGATGAAGATGAGTTTTCCAATCTATCTGATGATGACACAGATAACGAGAGCAGTGACTCTGATTTTCATTGATGAACATGAACAAAGACATACTGAAAATTGTTGTGTGCATGATGAACAGTGATATCATTGAAGAAAATTGTGAGATATACCACTAAATGGTGAAATTTGAAAGAAGTTTTAAGATCTTGAATCAAATTTTACATTCTACTCACGAATAATAGCTACAATAGAAAATTTTGAAGGAGGAGTTATCTCCCTTTGGTGTATTTAAAATATTATAGAGTATTATAAAAGTAGCACTAGTTTACGTTTTTGTCAGAAAATGAATAACCTTTGCAGTGTTTTATACTAACTATGCCCCATTCTAACAAAATCAACATAAGTTTCATAAATTTGGGGAATAGTTTGGTTATGAATCCAATTAAAAGTTGAAGTTTACAAAAAATTAACTTAAATTGCCATTTTGACTGTAAAAAATACATATACATTAAATACAATTTGTCAGTTTTTTGTTTTCATAATAAAATATCCTCTTTCAAGATTTGATTTAACATAGAATTTGACCACTATAGGTAACACATACATATCCTGATCATCTCTGAAAACATACTGTCACCTTCAGGAAAAAATGCTGAGTCATGCCTTTAACGCCCCCTACTGGCAAAATGGTCCAGATGTATTTTGTAAGAAATATGTTTTTGAATAGCCCAGACATAATGCAAATGTTACAAGTATTCAAACCATATGGACCTTTCGGGGTAAATAAACATACCCTATCTCTTGGACTATGTGTATACAAGCGGGGAGAGGGTCTACCTAATTGATAACGGCTGTGGGCTGAATATAAGCGTCATTTGGCGGCAGTCAGTTGACATTATGTTGGTAGGATATAGGTCACACCTCAGTAACACTGTGTGTGGGGAGAGGGTCTACCTATTCATAACGGCTGCGCGCTCTATTTAAGCATCAGTTTGCAACAAACAGTTGACAGAGAAGGACGTGTCTAGAACACTCTCAAGCATATCAAGCTTTCTACACTCGACTTGGCTATTTTGCCATACAGAAGTGTGATATGAATTCGTTAGTATGTTAATACAATGTGTCGTGTAGTTTACACAGGTAGTTTTCCTCTCCGTTAGGCCGTAAATCAATCACAATTGCTATGGTTTGAGTTTCATCCTGAATTTAAAAACTGAATAACAAACGCATTCATATGTATTTGCAGTAATTCACTATACATAATACTCTATGAAGGGTCATGTGTATTCCTGAGTGTAAGATATGAAAAAACCCAAATACAAGCAAGAAAAACATATTTATAGAAATAATAATCATTTCTTTTATATCTTTACAAACAGAATGGACACCTAAACAGACTTCCTTGAAAATGTAAAGTCCCTCTATGACCTTGAGTTTTGGGCCACTGCTAACAACTTTACCAATGATCCTGATGTGAACTTGAAGAGAATCGATCTGATGTCCAAACAACTGATGTGATTTTTGTAACCAAGTCTTCAAAAATAATTTCACTTTAATGAGACATAAGCGTACAGTGCACTCCAAGGAAAACTTTCAGTGTGAGAATTGTTTGGTCATGTTTAGCAGACGTGATAGCTTACAAAGTCATCAATGTAACCGGAAAAGGCCAGCCCGAGAAGATAATCAGTCTCCAAAGAAACGTCTTCGGTTTTCCTCTCCCCGTGAAAACCTCCCCTCCCCTGCAAGATAAGATACATGCAATTGGTGTGGTCATTTCAAGTGTATTTTTACCTGGAAAACTCTTCTGTGAGAGCTGTGATAAGAAAGGTCGTGAGTGCATCTCATGCCATCGCCTTGTCCCTGAGCGGCTATACAGTCAACGAGTGGATGAATGCAATAGATGTGTTAACAGACGAGAGAGATACCCGTCGAGAGGTAATCAGGTTGGGGGAAGGTCGGCTCTCGCGGGATCACTGAGGACAACAACACTGATTCCGAGTGATGTCAACCATGTATATATTCTGCAACTCTTTGCTGATGAACGAACCAATATCATTGAGATATTACATGACTTTTTAGATGATCAGAAAGATATGAAATGGTTTCTTACCCTTAAGTTAAAGAATGTCAAATATGACGAAAATAACGAGAGTCAGTTAGCTGATCCGGTCGTAGGATCTACAAACTTTGGACTCACAATTTTTCGGAAATTGATGATCAAATAGCTCAGGCGTTTCAAACATTATATGATCAACACAGGAATTTCAGGCCGAGGGAAGTGTTTGGATTTTAGATCATATAGTGCATTTGGAAGTAAATACCGCAGAATATGTACCCCTGTCAGGCCAGCTCTTACATTCCACTGCCTAAGTGCTTACAAATGCTTAAATGTCAAAGATAATGATCAGAAATGCTTTGTTTGATCTATTCTTGCTGCCCTACATCCTGTATCCTATAGAGATAATGCAAATCGAGTGACAAAGTATGTAGGGTATGAATCCGAGCTAGACCTGAATGGTATTGACATACCAATACCTCTCTCTCAAATTTCCAGATTTGAACAACAAAACCACATTTCTGTCAATGTGTTTGGCTACGAGGAGAAAGACGGTGTGTTTCCTCTTCATATCAGTAGCCAACCATTTGATAGACCTATTGCTCCTAACTGAAGGAGAAAAGAGACATTTTTGTCTCATTAGAAATTTCAGCCGTCTTGTGGCAGATAGAACCAAACATGATGGAAAAAATCTATTGTAGACGCTGTCTGCATGGTTTTATCCGGCAGGATTTGTCAGATGATCATGCCTTCTATTGTTCAGATCATTATGCCCAGAAAATCAGATTACCTGGTGAACACAACAAATGGATTAGATTTTTATCTGTTCAGAAACAGCAAAAAGTCCCCTTTGTTATGCATGCAGATGTTGAGGCAATCACCAGGAAAGTTGAACAAACTGAAAATAACACATCAAACACGACTGTTTATCAGAAACATCAGCCTTCCGGTTTCTGTTACAAAGTGGTCTGTTCAAAACCTACTGGTACATGTACAAAACCTGCAGTGACCTATAGAGGCCATGTAGTCATTTCACATTCTATTGAATTCTTGTTGGATGAAGCACATCTCATCTATGAAAAGCTTAAAGTTCCTGAAACTTTAAAAATGACTGACACTGATGAGTTGGCATTTCAAATGGCAGATACATGCCATATTTGTCAGAAACCCTTTGATGAAGAATCTATCAAGGTTCGTGACCACGACCATTTAGAATATAACTATCGAGGGGCTGCCCATCAAAAATGTAATCTGCAATAACAGTTTAGAAAGGTGAAAGGTAAACATAGTTTTCCAAGGGAAGAATTCTTTATCCCTGTGATATTTCACAACCTACTTTGTTATGACAGTCATCTGATCATGAAACAGTTAGACAAGTCTGTAAAACAGAAGCTGAGTTGTTTGGCAAACAACGTGGAGAAGTACATTTCATTTTCCATCGGCCATTTGAGGTTCATTGATTCATGTCAGTTTCTTCAATCCTCTCTGGGAAAACTTGTTGAAAATCTAAAGAAAAAACACCCTTCCAAATTTATCCATTTAAGGCATGAATTTGCAGATCCAACTCAGGTAGAGCTATTATTGAGCAAGGGAGTAGCTATTATTGAGCAAGGGAGTATATCCTTATGATTTCATGGACGATGAATCAAAATTTGAAATGTAAGAACTTCCTGAAAAAGAGGATTTTTACAATAGCTTATCAGATAGTTCCATCTCTGAGGAAGATTATGACCATCCACAAAATGTGTGGTCTACATTCCACATTCAGGACATGGGGCAGTATCATGACTTGTACATGCTAACTGACATTTTACTTTTGGCTAAAGTGTTTGAAAACTTTAGAAGAACAGCTTTAGAAAACTTCCAGTTAGATCCAGGACACTATTACGCGCTACCTTGGTTTGGATGGGATGCAATGTTGAAAATGGGAAATGTAGAGCTAGAGCGGCTGACAGATGTGGAAATGCTGCTCATAAAAGAGTCAGGACTCAGGGGTGGTATCAGCATGATATCCAAAAAGTATTCTGAATCAAACCTACCAGGTCAGAAACATTACAAAACTGATGAACCGAATAGACACCTTATTTACCTCGACGCGAATAATCTTTATGGGTGGGCTATGTGCCCAGCCCTCCCTGAGCGAGATTTCCAGTGGGTAGATAACTTTGAGAATTTAGATATAAGGAGTATTCCCGCTGACGCAGATATAGGTTACATTCTTGAGGATGACCTTGACTACCCATCTAGTTTACATGACGGTCACAGTGACTACCCTTTAGCACCTCAGTCTATGACAGTGACACATGACATGCTTTCTAAATATTCTCAGGATTTGAAACTTGACTTAAACATTAAGGGAACACCATGTATAAAGCTTGTACCAAACTTGTTAAACAAACAGAAATATGTTATTCATTACAGAAATTTACAGTTTTATCTGAAACAAGGCATGGTTCTAAGCAAATTTCATAGAGTCATTCAGTTTAAGCAGTCAACATGGCTAGAACCTTTCATTTATTTCAACACAGAGACACGTAAACAATCTACAAATAAAACAGACAAAGCGTTTTTCAAATTGATGAAAAATTCTTGTTTTGTCAGAAAACATGTCAATGTTGAACTGGTGAATTCAGCCAAACGTCTAAAGAATTTCTGTGCTAAACCAACATTTGATGCTTTCAAAATTTTCAATCCAGATTTGGCTGCTGTTCACTTGAAAAAGACAACACTGTTTTTGAATCAACCCCTCTATGCTACAGCTGGCTGGTCCATTTTGGATCTCTCAAAGATCCATATGTACGACTTTCATTATAATTTTATCAAACGTAACTATGGAGAGAAAGCCAAGCTCTGTTTTACTGACACTGACTCGCTGTGTTATGAAATAGAAACCCATGATCTGACTGCTGACATACAAGAAAATATTGATCTGTTTGACACCAGCAATTATAAATCTGACCATCTCCTATATTCCAAAACTAATGAAAACGTTCTTGGAAAATTTAAAAATGAACTTGCTGGGCTGAAAATGTTGGAGTTTGTAGGCCTAAGACCTAAAATGTACTCAATGTTTGCTTTGTAAAAACGAAGTAGATGTGAAGGATGGAAAAGAATGTAGAAAAATCAAATGAAATTCAACACGCCAGAGCCAAGGGTATGTCTGAAACTGTACGGGATAGACAACTTCGACATGCTTTGTACAAACAGTGTATCTTTAAAGAGAAGCAATTTCGGCACCAGGTGAAACAAATTCAAAGTCGAGATCATCAAATGTACACAGCTTCTATCAATAAAATCAGCCTCTCCCCTTTTGATGATAAGAGATATGTCCTCAATGATGGAATCCACACACTGGCCCATGGTCATTATAAAATTGATTCTTAAGAAAAAAATTTAATATCTACCCTTTATGACTCAACAGTGTTAGAGTTACCCAGGAATGTTATATTAGAAAATCCCGATTTTATATTGTTTGAATATTCATGCTACATTACTAATGGTTCAATGTCAATCTTTATTGATTATGTATATTCTTATAGACACTTATATATGTCTATTGTACAGATGTGTTGAATGAAAATGATACGTATTGTGTTAATTGTATAATTACTTATTGTTGAATAAATATGTTAAACATATCCATTGCGTTTGTGATTGTTTTATGAAACCTCAACTCAAATAGTTATATTTACAAGACAGTACACAATTGATAATAGTGTGATTGATGTGAATAGACCCACATGGTGACAGAGTAATGATACAGACTGATTCACATACATACAGGGGCGGTCGGGTAGCCTAGTGGTTAAACCGTTCGCTTCTCACGCCGAAGACCCGGGTTCGATTTCCGACCTACAATGTAATGTGTGAAGCCCATTTCTGGTATCTTCCGCCGTGATATTGCTGGAATATTGCTAAAAGCGACGTAAAACCATACTCACTCACTCACTCACATACATACACTTTTGTTTAAACTGCAGGTAAAATTCAAATAAAATGCTGAAAGGTTGCAAAAACAAAAAAAGAACAAAGAACTAGCATATTCTATATACATATTTTTATTACATAAATACAATACATATAACAATATGATATGTAAAGTCACATTATTACAGAATAGTGTTTTAATGTACAAGAGTTTAATTATTATTAAATATCCTCATCCTCATTATCATTATCTTGGTCATGATCAGATTGGTTGACCAGTTCTTACTCTTCGGCCATTGACATGTCCACATGAGAGAGGATATCTTTGACCACTGGTTTCATCCACTGAGTGATTTTATGATCCATTTCATTGCAATCCATGTCAGGGTCTAACTGTTTCATTTTCTCTAGAATAGGTTTGAAGAGAGGCCCGTTTCCAAAGTAGCCTATATATCTGATGGCTTTCACGAGTCTTTCAAGGAAAGTAGTTTTCCAGCACTTCGTCAATTTCTTTTCAATCCATCTTTTACTCTTCCCTTCATCTTCATACTCTTCTTTCTTCTTCCAGATTTCTTCCCTGCACGTTGTTAGTGTTTCTGCCCACATGTATTCTAAGCCTTTCACCTCCCACTCTTTATCAGCTTCACTGAATTTAGAGGTCATTGTAGGCTGTAGGACATCACTCTCATCGGCTGTCTGAATTTTAAGTCGTTTCCTTAGGGGTCCCCCTCCATTCTCAGGGCACCGCGATCTGACATGACGCTGAAGGTCACGATTATTTTCAAACACAATACCACACTCATCACAGGAAGGCATAGTTGTATCAGAAGTGTCGTCCTCTGATTCACTGTCCACTGGAGCGGCTACTTCTGAGATGTGATCTCTTCTGGTGCCTGGCTTCAAATGAAAATGATTGACAGTCTGCTCCTCTTTTATAGGCTGTGGGGTGGTGACTGTTTCAAGTACTTTAGGTTGTAGTCTTCCTGATTCCAAGGTAGTAGGACGCAAGTCGATTGTCAGATTGCCATAGGGTTTTTCAACAGCTTCTTTATACACAGACATAAACCAGCCGGTATTGTTGGGATAGATGCGCCTGGGAAACAAGTTGACTTGATATCTGTCCACAGGGGAATTAAACAGTGTCACGTAATGAGAACTCAAAGCAATGTCACGTGACTCCTTACCTCTGGGAAACAGATTTTGCAACAGTAAGAAAATAATGACATTCTTATGGTAAAAGGTTCGGGTGAACAGTTGGGAGATGCGTTTATCATCTTTAGCGTCTGACATGAGGTCATCCAGTACAATCATGTTGTTATTCCGTGCATTTAGATAGTTATCCTTGTGCAGGTTGTAAGAAATCCCCTTCACAAACGTCACAACTGTCCACTGATTATCTGATACAGAGGCTGCCACTCCGTATAACACCAGATAATGTTATTGGGTACTGGTTGGATGCGATTCTGTAGTAAAATGTTGTACACAAACATAGTCTTGCCACTTCCACTTGGACCCACCACCACAGTATTGGATGGAATGGTAAAGTAGAACTGTTCTTTTAGTGCTGGAGGAGGTGGAGGAGGAGGAGACGTGGGAGGAGGAGGAGGGGGAGGTGGAGGAGGAGGAGGTAAGGTTCCTGGAGGAGGAGGATATGAATGCATCTGTCTCCTATGTCTATGCATATTATCATTTCTAGAGAACTGTCTCCCACAATCAGGACACGATGTGGACTCCATGACGATAGAAATGCAACTGACACTGGAACAAGAGGAAGACCCTTATATACTCTGAAAATCAGTTTCTGGGATCCAACTGTTAAACTTCTTGGTGTATGCCATCCATTTCACAAAAACCTCTTTTACGCCAGCTCGCTTCCTTTTCTTCAAAACCTTCTCCACTCTCCACACAGTGTCTGCAGGCTTGTCTACTCTCTGTATTTCATTTGCATAGAAACTGCCTTGAACCGGACCATCTGCCATATCTTTCAACAGATAGAAGGCTATACCATCTCTGTAGTATCGTCCCCTAATAATAAAGATTTCCTCAGTCCATTTTTCTTGATGGTCTCTTTGAAATGTATGTCTCAAATGAGACAGTCTCACTTGATCGCCCATTTTGAATTTAAAGGGTTTCTTCATTGACTTCTGTTTGATTTCAGCTTTCGATTTGACTGGCTTTATCAAAGTGTCAATGTATTGTTCCTTCCATACTAAAGCTTCATTAGTCAGATCAATATCTGAGGGTGATCTTTCATTCAATGATCTGTGAGATCTGTGGTTATAATCCCGGACGAGATCTTGCAAAATGTTCAGGTAATGATACGTTTGTTTGTAGGAAAAAATATCTGTACATCGTGGTCTTGAGGGTCCGTATCACTCTCTCGGCATAAGAAGCCTTTGTTTCATTCTGTGTGACATAGTAAGTGATGCCCTTGTTTCTTAATTAAGACCTCATTTTCTTATTCAAATTCTCGCCCTTTTTCTGATCAAATTATCAAATTCTCGCCCTTTAACTGTTTGTGGCAGGGAAGCGCGGGAAAATATCTTCTTCAAGGCCTTAATGACCGCATCCGGTGTTTTATTTTTAATGGGCTCGACCCACAGAAAACGTGTAAATACATTTATAGCTATGACTAAGTATTTCACACCGTCATTGTCCGAGGCTATATTAGATACATGAGCCAAGTCAATATCCCATCGGGCATTGAGGCCTGAAGCCACCACTCTGTTCCGCTTGAACTTGTATCTTTAAGGTCGCTGAAGCGAATAGGCATCTTGGGATGTCAACCTCTTCTTTATGTGATGTAAACTAATATCACATTTCTCCTCCTTTTTCACAATGTCATACAACTTAGCAGGACCAGAAAAAGGAGGCTGGGTGTTTGGGATTCAAATAAATACTAGACAAATATGCTTTCCATCCGTCAGCAGGCATGGTTACACGTGAAATGAACTATAGAGACGGGGCTGGGCTACATTCAATGACAAACGTGCTTGTGTTTTTATGTTAACCTGTGGATACAGAGGGCTGCCTTCCACAAAGGTTTGTTTACACAGCTGATTGCCTTCAGTGAACAAGGCCGTTATGTGACCTAGTTCATCACTCTGTTTACAGTAACAAAACAATTCTCCTTTACCTATGCAACTAATGTAAACATAAAAGAACTGACAACATTGCTTCCTCACTATTTCAAAGGAATTTCATACATACTATTCTACAGATTTTGATACTTATTAGTCCATGTTTGAATGTGTAACCGTTGATCTGTCTATAGCGCGGGGATTCCCCTCCACACCTGGCAATCTCATTCGGTCGTTTCCTGTGACGTCATCGTGCACCACCGGTGAAGTCATGTGGTTCTGTCAGTTAGTATTCATCAAAAGATGAGTTTCGTTAGTTAGTCTTGCCTTTGTCTTTATATACATCACACTCAACAAAAATGTATATCGATGATGTTAACAACTGATAAACATACCCTTAAAACGGTTCATGTATCATGCTATGTTAATTAGAATTTGACCTGTTAATCATATTTGCAACCTCTACCGAACGTCATTTCTTTCTGTTACAGGGAAGAGCGGCAATGCAGAGGGTAGAGAAATGACATAAGAATGAATACAACTTACATCTGTGTTGCCTGCACACTGCAAATGAGCAGTACCTTGCTCAAATGTAGTATTTTGGAAAATGAGAGTTTCGTTTTATCGTATTTTCATAGACTTTTATTATCTGTCGAAGGTGTGCGTTGAGACCATTCATGTGTAGAGATTTCTAACGATAATGGTAGG